GGATGAAAAAAAATCACGTCAAGAAGCCTGGAAAGTACCAAGGTGATAAACCCTTTAATAAATTCAGATTATTTAATGTCTAGGGAACAAGTTACTGGAGAGAGACAAAACCTCTGTTTTCATAAGGCCTGACGCCTTCTCTGCACCATCTCAGTGGTGATGTTTCTCTTCCCCATCATTTTAATGTCAAAGTGCTCAGGCATTTAACAGATTTCTCATAGCACTACATGAGGTAGATAAATACTATTGGGCAATTAAACCAAAGAACAAGAAATTGAAGTCAGATCTTCATAGACTCAATCTACCACCCCATCACTGGAACAACTCTGTACTCCCCGTGCCTTCTGGGTCCTGACCAGGGCTGCTGGTCAGCTTATGGTGCTGGGACAGGGGATGGCTCGGCTTTGTACAGTTCTGATGAATACTCATTTCTATACTACTGGCTATTTTTGTATGCTGATAACATTCTCTCTTGGCATCTCTTCTTTGCAAAAACTGTGCCAGTAGACTGTGCTCTCTTGTTTTCATTTTGGTTTGAGTTCGATGTCCCCACATGGCACCAATTTCAATGCCTTTGAACTCAATCTCTTCCTGTTCTTAGCAGCACAACGTTGTCCTGCAGCAAACAAAATTTCAGACATGGCCAAAGACTGGTCACAAGGGAAAATCCTCGAAACTGGGAAAATGCAATGAAAAGTCACTTGTGACCACACAGAGTTAATCTCAAACTTAAATTCCAGAACTTCAGGTTATTGTCAGACTAGGGACTACTTTTTTCTTCTGAGGAGCCAAGATTTTCTGCCAAATTTCATGTGCAATTTTGAAGAGAAAAATCTGATTCTTCCTCAATATTACACAGGAGGTCAGTGCTGAAGGGACTTTGCACATTAATCCATCCCGAAAAAAGGATCAAGTTTGTTGTTACTGTTGCACGCTATTGTCACATATAGAAACAAAGTCATCTAAATACTAATTGAAAACATCCCATGTGCTCAATGTGGTCTCCCAGAAAGGACATGGCCCTGTAAAACCACACATTGTAGGCCTATTTCCCATGTGCTACAAACCAGAATTTTGGTTGTTGTTACCCAAATCCTACTGGGAACAGCAAGGACAGACACATGTAGTATTTGCTAATTTGTTAGTAGCCCTAGTATTTTAGATTTAAAGAAAGATACATCTTTTTTATTTTCTAACCAATGCAGACGTTAAGTGGAATCACAGAAGGGCAGACGATGGCAGGGACCTCTGGAGATCATCTGGTCCAACCCCCCTGCCAAAGCAGGGCCACCTACAGCAAGTTGCCCAGGACCGTACCCATGTGGCTTTTGAGACTCCACAACCTCTCTGGGCAACCTGTGTCAGTGCTCGGTCACCCTCACAGTAAAAAAGTGTTTCCGGATGTTCAGAGGGAACCTCCTGTGTTTCAGTTTGGGTCCATTGCCTCTGGGCCTGTCACTGGGCACCACTGGAAAGAGCCTGGCCGCATCCTCTTTGCACCCTCCCTAGCGGTATTTGTATATGTGAATAAGATCCCCCCTGAACCTTCTCTTCTCCAGGCTGAACAGTCCCAGCTCTCCCAAGGATGCTCCAGTCCCTTCATCATCTTCGTGGCCCTTTGCTGGACTCTATCCAGTAGCTTCATCTCTCTCGTACTGGGGAGCCCACAACCAGACACAGTTGGGAAAAAAAGTTGCATATTCCTCTAACAGTGATTTCCTCAGCAAGCATAAAGCAAACTTTTTTCTCCCCTACACCTTTTTTGGGTCATGCACAACGCTTTTTGTCTGTCCATCATCCACCTTCGTGTCAGCAACCAACCCCACTCAGAGGGAACACACCCCTCCTTTTCCTAGTACTGGAGACGCTCAGGCCACCTTCTCAGGCAAAGCGCAGTTACCACTTTTGATGTGAATGTGCTGACATTCAGGTGACGACCTCAAGTTCAAGAGGACAAGGTGAGGAGGTCACCTGGACTTCACTGTAGAGAGCAGCTGTAGACAAGAGGGCTAAGGGCCGAGCACACTACTGTCACCATTTGGGATTATTTTCTGTTAGATTCGCTGATTTCCAGCCCTGTGCACTGCCCTGTTTCAGCCATGTCTAACCATGATGTTAAATCTCCTGCAGACAGAAGGACCATCAGTGCTATCGTTGGAAGCAGTTGCCCATGTAGTTTTCCCTTTACTTAACTATTTTCAGCTTAAAAGTCTGAACTTTGAGGCTTAGGCTGATCTTCCTTCAGCCACCTGGACCACAAGTGGCTCAAATTAGCTGCTGAGGCACTCCGTATGTGACCAGCGCCTGCCCCATCACCTACCTAAGCGCTACAGAGATGGTTCATTTTAAAGGCACCAATGGCAGGTAGATGCTCTGAAGAATACTGCTTTTTTCCCCAAGGAAACATTAGCTAAGAGAGAAATGAAAATCAATTTTTCTAAAGTGAAAAGCAGAGGAAGGCTAGCATTGTGTGTACGCCCCTTGGCACAGCGGGAGATGTCACTAAAAGCCTCCTGCTGCACTTCAGCAACCCTGGGGAAAGGGGATTTGACTTCGTTGGAGTGGGTGTGTGTGGGTGTGTGGGGTGCTGCATAGCTTGCATCTGTACCAAAAGATACCCTTCCTACCCCCCCCCATGCAATTCATAAAAATAGCTCAGATTTGTTATTCAGCAACTAAAATGGAAAGAAAAGGACCAAGCAACAGGGATCCCTTTTTGTGCAGTTCTAGAAGACAGAAAAAACAGAGATTGTTACCCTAACATAGCAGAACAGCAAGGCAGGTGTTTTAACTCCCCCCATGTCAAATCCTTCTTGTTTCTTTTCAGAGGTAAAGGAATTATTGTTTGAATTAGAGACACCTATTTTCCCTTTGTATCTCTACATTATAGCTCTTATGGTCATAGCAAGGGGACAAGCTTCCCTTTCCCTCTTAGCTTCACTTTCCGCTTCTATCGTTTTCTAAGCCAAGACCAGTTTGTCCCGAGACTGTAAGATACAGGGATGTTCAGCTTAAATTCAGATAAACCCGCAGGCAGTTTAGTCAGAAAGAACAGCAAGGGAAATTTTGCAAAATGGATTTCTACAACCAACATCCACTCACCCATAAGCAACACTGAACCCACGACTCCTTGGCAGAGAATGGAGGGGTGGCCAAAAGTCTACTGCAGAGCAGTCCAAACACATCTCGCTCCCAAGTTTAGTCTCCTTTGGAGTCAGTTTGTTTGATCATTACATGTTCAAAAGGACTAGACATTGACCGAGGGGCAGATCCTCAGCTTGCTGACTCCACCGCTCCATCAGCGTAAGCACAATTCATGCCGGTGACCCAGGCTCGTTGCAACCACTATGTCTCCTCAGGAACAGAGCGCTGAACAGTGATTTAAATTTACTTCGGTGCTCCCATGTTTCTGCCATCATGAGAGAGAACTCTCTGCACAGCAAAGCCAGTCAGGTCTTCGGCTAAAAGGCCCTGAGCCCAAGGTAACGTGGAACAGCGTAGTCCAGCAAAGTCTCATACATCTTCTCCAGCTGGAATGAAATATTGGCAAGCGACTTGCTCATCTTGCATAGCTTCGTCAGCCAAGAGCACTTCAGTCATCAGAAAACACGCACAAGGTGTAATGAAAAGCCTTCCAAGAGGAAACAAGCATCTAGCTTCCAGGAGAGAAAGTGGGAGGACTTAGAAAACAATTAACATGCAAGTTGGAAAAAGAATCTTTTTAGTGCTGTGTGAATTATGTTTGAAAATATGCTTTAAAATATGCTGCCTCGAGGGGAACCAACAACAGGCTTGTATGACCAGGAAAGCCAAGGTGGCATCATTTCCGAGAACGTGACTGCAAAATGCTTAAGCACAATTTATAGGTTGTTTAAAAAGAGAATTTTCCCTGAAAATATGTAGCAGTCCTGCAACACACACATGGAAGCTCACTCACCCTTTACTGCAGCAGCTTACTGGTCTAGAATTAATGCCATGGACCATGTTAACCTTTTTGTTTCCCCAAAAGTGAATTATTGCAGGGCAAACAAAGGAGAAGCTTTCTTTTCTTTTGGCATTATCACTCAAGGGAAAAAACAAGGCTTCTCTACGCAGCAATGTGCTCCATAGTGGTAAAAATCATGGCCTCACCACTTTAGAGGGGAAAAGTAAAGTCCAAAATGGAGCAAGACTGAGCACCGCTGACGTGCGGTGTCACAGCAGCTACAGACCATGAGGCCTGCTTAACTAGGAGATACAGGAAAGCCCTAGGTCTGGTCTGCAGTTCCATTCTCGACACCAGTTTCTTCAAAGTGCATCAGCAATAGCGTGCTAAAAAGTTAAAAGGATTAAAGGAACAGAGAGTCGACTGAGCAGAGGAGATCCCTTTGTAAAAAAGGGCTTTTTGTGTGTATTCAACTTGACAACGTCCTTCTAAAAAGGTAATTTTGGTCAATCCAGGTTTTTAAATAAGTTTTATTTTTAAAAGAAACCGTAAAATATGACAACAGGACAATGGGCGTTGTTCAGCAATATCAGTTTCTGGTCTATAGAGGAAATTAATAAAAACCATCAGCATTTTAAAAAATAAATATGACTAACCATATGGAAAACAGGAAAATCAAATTCATCTTCAACAACACAGACAGGTATAAATGCTGAAATGTTGCTGCGCAAGGTAGAGGTAGAGGTAAACCAGACCTTTCAGACCTAGACCAGTTTTAGATCTGCCCCCCTCCATGCACACACTCCCAAAAGTTCTTGTTGCCAGTAATTTAATTTGAATCAGCCTGTCAGCCTAGCAAACTCAAACAGGTCTGTGTGCTCCTTGTAATGCTCTGAGCCGGAAAACTATTTCAATTTTTGTAGAAATTAGTTGCTAAGCAACCTGCCCCCTGGTTTTGCGATTTGTGCAGCAAGGAAGCTGGATTTTAGCTACTACAAACCAAAAAAATGCTCTCCGGACGATGCCCACTAGGACAAGTAGATGGTAGAGCCCTTTTAGGAACTGCAATAGTCCACAACGCCGTGCCTGGAGTTCCTTCACTGGAGAGAGCATGGTCAGCAGAAACATCCCAAATCAATAGGTACCCGCTGTGGGGAGAGCCGATTGCCTTACAGAGTATTTTGATACCGAAAACTCACATGGTAAGACACAACCCAAGAACCCTCTGTACAAAGCAGCAAGTATCTTGACATAGTGAAATATAAAAACTAAAAATTGCACCGCACATGGATTTTCCAAACAAACTCAAGACAACCGAAGTCAGATCGTACAAACCATTAGTTAAAAAAATACCTTCTTGTATATTTTGAGAATAAGTGGAAAGAGTCTTCGTGCAAATGTTCAGCCTTGAACAAGCAGAGGATGTAAAACTGTTGTAAACGCATTAGTTCCTTTCTCATCTGCCATATGTGCCCAGCGTTATCTATCTTCTGCAGTATGATTAGGGTTAGGAAATCTGTTTCTTCCGTAAATACCACCTTTCAAGTTCCACTGATGTACCATCAAGACACTACTGGTGTCATATCCCACAACTGTTAATACAATAAAATATAACGACATGGTGAATAATGGTAAAAGATAATCAAATATAGTATAAATGCCACCTTTAAATAATTTGCACCTTTTTTTTTTTGTATGGGAGAGGCTACATGGTTAGAGGTGGATGCAACAAAGTCTGAAGAAGCTTGATTTTGTTTCCCCGCACTCATGTCAGACCGGTGGAGGCTGACCAAATGACATTCTGCATGTCACTATGCTTTACCCTTACGAGCCAGGTTCATAGCTGGCCTTAAGAGAAACAAAAAAAAACCCACACTACATTGCTAACTTCAATGATTACTATAGTTGTAACACATTATGAGGGTTTTTTTTAAATTATTCGAGCTTTGTTACACACTTACTCATTATTTTAGCTATTTCTTTATCTAGCCACACAAACTGAGATTCGCCATGTTGAAATACGATTTGTCTTCCCAGAGGGAAAGCTACAGTGAGCACTTGTCCCAGCCCCTCCAGGCAATAACTTCACAGACTGAGACCTCCTCGGTCCTTACTGGGCAGAAGTCCATCAGTGAGAGGTCTCTGGGGGGAAGGCAGCAGGTAGGACATACCTGCAGCCAGACGGGAGAGGAAGGAGAAACGAAATACAGGAGCTAGAGCAACCTCCTCGCTCCTACCTTAATAACCTTGTCTGTTCCCGAGGTCAACAGCCATCCCCTGGTGGCATCAAAATGTACGTGAACGATGTTGTGCTTACTGTCGTGGAAAGTAGCTGTGGGCGCCCTCCTGAAGGAAGAAATCCAAAAATCAGCAAAGACTGACTGCAGAATTTTCCCCAAAAACAGAATCATAGAATCATTATGGTTGGAAGAGACCTCAAAGATCATCAAGTCCAACCGTATACCCGACAAATGTTCTTTATAGAGGAAACAAGTACTTGAATGCTGCTGGAAGTCATTAATTCAGCAAACTCTCTGTAAACTCTACTTCGAGACCTTTCCGGCATGAGAAGAGCTGGGGTGCAGGGCTGTCTGTCCCTCCCGGTTTGGCAGTCACCGCAGAGTCTTACCGTGCTGAAAGAGCCCAGGGACCACCCTGCCAGGCTGCTCCCTCCCGAAGCCTTGCATCCGCCCAGGCCCTCCCACATGCGGGAGTTCTGCCCCACTCCAGTGCAAGCCGGCTCAGTGTCCACACTTACTCTTCATCCGTTATGGACTCGTGACAGCTATCGCAGACCCTCACTTCAAACTCGAACCCCATCAGCGGGATAGAGGAGCGCTTGGAGCTGCATTTGCCGCACACGGCTTTCCCACACTTCCGGCAGTGATGCTGTAGGAGACAATATGCAGAAAGACATCTTCAGCCACAAACCCAGATCACTGCACAGGTCCCACTGGCTCTACCATCTCACTCCGGCAAGACCCAGCCGAGGCTGCAGCACACAGGAAAGCGACTTCCAGGGAAGATGAAGGAAAACAGGCAAGGACTGACACCATAGACCACCCAGTAAATCATCGCTGCCTCCACCACTCGGCATTTGTGGATGTAGCTGTGGGTCAGGGCTTCTACACCGAGTGTGACCAGTGTTACAGGGGGTTTCCAACAGGGTAGAAGGCAGAAGAAGGAAGTCCAAGCTGTCCTCTTTTGGTTAGCACAGCTAGGGATGGGAGGACAGGACGAAGAGCCCCGCCATGCACCAGGAGATGTGTCCTAGCCAGCCGGGCATCTGCCACAGGGCTGGGAGCTATAATTACCCCTGTCCCTGGGGGTCTCACTTTGGGGTTAGGGGATGACACCACCACTCAGCAGCACGCAACACATTAAAACATCTCCAGGTCGAGGTAGGACAGGCCTACGTTAGCATAGTCTCATTCTGGAGTCCCATCCCAGCCTCCAAGTATAACCATCTACCATCTAATCATCTCGGTGGACTCCTTTGGCCATTTTCAGCCCCTGAAGCATGAGCATTTCTGCATTTTGATGTTACCCGCCTCATGTTTTCTCATGCGCTCTGCAGTGATGTGCGTTACGTTAAAAGAAGATGCAGCTCAGCTCTGCTCCAGACACCTGACTTCTCCAATCTCCATGGGAACATCCCTTTCAGCATTTTTACACCCGTCTCCCAAAAGTCTGAGATCTACAGCCCCCTCCTGCTGGGCAGGAAAACGCAGCAGCCTGTTCCCAGCAGACCAATAAGCCTTTTCCAACACAGCCTGAGTAGTTACAGATGTTTACCCAACCTCATTAAAAACAGCTTTAGTTCCAGCACAATCTCCAAAAATCAGCTACAAATTTCTTTCTACAACACGTTCAATAAGCGAAGTCCTACAGGGCTAAAGCCATGGATGGCCCAAAACCAATAATTTACTCACCCCAAGGCCTATTACATGCATTTGCTATTGGGACTGGCTGCAAAGAAAAAAAAAAAAAGAAAAAAAAAGAAAAAAGAAGTGTGCTCCTCCCAACCATAAAATCAAGCCTCATCAGAGGGGAGCCCACTGTCCCACTATCAAGCACTCAGTGGAAGGACAAAGTGCAAGTTCTCAGGGCTTTAGGAGGAAAAAGGTTACCACGATCTATTATGAGAGAAAAGCCTAATAATTGCACCATGTTAACACACCAAAGGACACATACAAACCTGCCTGAGGCCTATTTTCTTACTGTCCCACATTTGCTTGAAGTTCCAGAAGAAAGGCTGGTCACATTTTTGACAGGAGTCACTGTCCAACCACTCAGGGGTCTGCAACACACACACACGTATAAACACAACATGGGAGTGAGTAACAAACAGAAAAGCTTCCAGTGGAGGCAAGAGACAGGACAAGAAAGATGTATTGGGGTGCAGTAACGTGGCCAACTAAACTTGATTAAAAATCCCTATCTTCACAAGATCTCATTTTGATTGTTCCCTGGAATGGCTTTTTTGGCCTAGCCCTGAGCCTCGAAGGACGTTGGAAGAACACTTCTCACCCAAATCATGAAGCAGAGTTTGATTATGAGGCCGTAAAAATAACCCAGGAACAAACCAGCCTCCCCCACCTCTCCAAGTCTGGAATTAAGCATATAAAATATTCTGTCCTGTCTGGACAGCATTTACCTTCTGCTATTGCCTCTGGTGGGAACTGGGGGCAATTAGTATTTCCAATAGCCAAGCTACTCATCTGGAGGGAAGGGGAAGGTATCCAAAATGCTGATGTGGTGTTTTAGTTTTTTTAATTCTTTCTTTCTTTAATACTGTAAGAGGTGTTCTTGCTGTCAGAGGTATCTGTGCTACAAATCACACATAGGAGTGAGAAAGATGAGATTCAGTCGAACAAGCCTAAAACTCAAACCAGCTCTTTTCCCTGCTTTTACACAAAGACCACGCAAGGAAGGTCTTCTATTTCCTAACATGACGTGTAGCTTTGCACTCATGCTGTGGATGAAGCAGGTAAGAAGATTTAAAGAAAAGAAAGAAAATCTTAAAGGCACTTCTGTCTCCTGCAGCCAGGCTTTGCTGTGCAGAGTAGCATGGACCAGACACCCCGTAGGGAAGCAAGTCTTGCCAGATCCTGAAAGAGCTCAGGAAAGGTCTGAAGTGGCAGGGGGGCATGTGGAGGGGGCAGTCCATCTCCTCCCCTACATTTGGGTTGCCTGACACTTGTCTTGCACTGAGATGCTGGGGGACACGCAGTGCATCTCCCCACAATGTTTAGGAAACCTTCCGGGGGAATGAGACTCAGGAAAAATCTTGTTTCTTGACCCCTCTCCAGGTGGTTGTCAGTCTGTCTGTCCTAACCTGGCCTAGCAAGAACAACACTCCTTCCCAGCAGATGACTTCTGCTCCTTTCTCTGTCCCACCAGGACAAGAGCTCAGCCCAAAGCCGGTGCTGGCAAGTGGGTCTGTCCCGTCCCCGCAGCAGGGCAGCCCCAGCCAGACCACGACAGCCCTGCCAGTGCTGCCTCGCCACCACTGCAACACGCTCCTACCAGCCCCATGAGATTAAATAAACACTAAATAATGTTTAATACTTTGTGAATAAGTGCGGTTGGCAAACTGCAGTTGTCTTATCAGAGCCACTGGCTTCTCACACGCTGCAATTTAAAATGGCAAGAAACACAGCTGAGACTGAGAATTAAAAGTGATACAAAAGCCAGGCAAAGATAAGGTAAGGCTGATGGAGACTCTCAGCTCCCAGGATAGCTTTGACCCCCAGCAATAAAGCAACCACCTGATTCAGTTTCTTCTGCCAGTTACTCTGAAGGCAGTTCATTCTGCTGGGGCGAATCCTTGTCTTTTCTACCCACAACAGTCTTTCTTTTTAATGCCTAGGGATTTACATCTGCGTGTACGAATTTTCATCTCTTAAGCATCTGAATACTATAGATGAAGAATTCATTTTGCTTGTGACAAGTAACCGCTTTGTAGTCAAATAGAAACACAGCTTCTAGCATCTTTCAGATGCTGTCTTCTTACAGCTTTTTAAAAACAGAGATGAAAATAAAGAATCAAGGACTAAAATGGCTTAATTAATGCAGTCTCAGAGATGCGGGAAAATCTGAAAGCATCAAAGTGAACACTGAGCACATATACATGGAGAAAACGCTTAAATAAGGGCAAAAATACCAAGGCCAAAATCCAGAAGAAAATGGTCTAGAACCTCAAACCAAGGTTTGGCATCAAAATCTCAAAGGTGCATCTTTCAGGGGTGGTTTAGCACCATGAACACCCTATTGTGCTACTGATAACATGAACAAGCCCACATAGCCATAGTCAGAGAAAGTAGCACACCTGTTAGCACCTGCTGCTAAGCCCTCATTTACCTAATTATATTTCTCCTCCACTTTTTAAACCAGCCTTCTCACAGCATTGCCGCCTCTTTTGTGACAAGGCAGTCTCAACCCTCACTGTAGACTTTTGAAGGCAGCAAATACATAAAGGTTTTCATTTCTGGATGTTCGAGTTACAGCAAAAAGGAAACATCTGTTGGGAAGGAGGAAGCCACTCTGCTTTCATTTCACTTTTGGGGTTGATGAAATAATTGGCCATTAGATTAGCAATTAAAAAGAGCCAACTGGAATGCTAATTCACATAAAAAAGGGAGCTCAGTTCCTGCCTATGCCTATTTCAGTAGGTTTTTTAATCCAATTTTCCTCTTAGCCGTCCTCCTTGCTCAAGGGAGACACACACGACCCAGGGAGGCCAAAACCCTGGAGAACCAGCAAAGTTGGTGAAAGCCCATGCTGCCCAAAGCCTTGCTCAGACCTACCCACTGTGGGGACTCCAGGTGCCTTCCTACCCCTTGCAGGAACAGGGCAGAGGTTTGCCGTGACTCACGTTACTCAGATTTGCCTCGCTGTCGAGCAGGGCTGACGCCTGCCTCACTTGGCACAGAGCTCGCTCCCCCTCTCTGAGTCAGGTCTCAGAAATTGCCGAGCGGAGGCTGCTCCCACAGCGTCAAAGTCCTGGGGTGCGTTTTTGCACCTGCTTACATTCGTTGGTCGTGCAGCACAAAAGCAATTAGGAGCACGTGGGTGAAATCTTACTGTCTGGATCAGCAAAGTCATCATTTACCCTGCTTCTACCACAGGGAAGCAAGACCGAGTAACAGGTGAGATTGAAGCCCCAGTTAAATGTCTTCTGAGCAAGAACAGGAAAAAAAACCTGGGTTGCAGGTTTCCAGAGATGACAAAGAGCTTTCTTGTTTTGTTTTCTTAAAAACTCCTAATAATTATCAATCCATCCATTTACCTCTGAACTGATTTCTCACGATGTACTGAAAAACAAAGCAGAGCATCTCACAATACTCTCCTTAGAGGACGTCTTTCAAAGCAGTAATGTAAAGGGCAAGAGCCATTTAGCAGCCTACTTAGTACACATTTTCTGCCAGACAATTTCCCCTGTACCATATTATCAAAGGCACGGCATAATTGCTGTACAACACCTGGAGCATGTCTAAAAACATTTTTAAAGCCTGGAATGATCTTGTTTAGGTTGAAAGTCGCATGTTTTAGAAAGGCTCCTTCTTCCCAAGACTCCTTCAGACCAAATCAACAAGAACTGAGCATCTACCTCCTGCCTCTCAACATCCATGTTCCAGACAACGATTCCCCCATCCGCACCACAGGAGATGAGCTGCCGAGTGTGGTGAGCATAGGAGAGAGACTGAACTTTATCGCTGAAAAAGAAACGAGACAGTTACTAATCAATCACCTATGGCTAGTACACAAGTAAGAGTAAAATATACAATAAAGCAGTACAACCCACTTGTTTGCCCATATGTTTTCCTCCCCCCTCACTGTACATGGCATCCATCAGATGCAAATCAGTTTTTGCTGGCCAGCTGGGACCAGAACCAGAGTGTTGCTCATCTGGGCAGCAACCACAAAAGCAAAGACCTGATAACTGCTTTTGCTGCTCCTGAGACGGGAGGTCCCAGCTGCACTGGGAAGCCTGAACAGAGCTGCAGCTCCGAGCCTCTCCAAAGGCACATCTGGATGCATAAACACAGCCCTGATAAGGTACTTTCTTCTCAGAAGGTCAGTAACAACTTTGGTTTTGTAAATCTCTGCAACATCTAGGAATGAAGCACTGAGGAACTACTGAAAATTTTCTTTTAGCTCTAACAAGCATAGAAATATAGGAATCACTAAATTCTTCCTAAGCCTTCTCAAGGTAAGGTGGAAGACTTAGGTGCTTCTGCTTCTTCTTTTAAGCAAAAGCAACATGGGAGAAATAATTCAGCTTAAACCCTCAAAGCTGGGCTCAGTTCTTCATGAAAGAAATAAAACCAAGCCTCATCTCAAGCTGTTTACAACTTGGGAAACAAAAAACATACAACACAGGAAACGAAGAGCATACAACACTCATGGAAAAAATCAAAGGTATGAAGAGACAGTAACTGGGAATACAGCAACTGGAAATAACCCACAACATTTGGTTTTCTCTGCTACCACCACTGGTCTTTTCTACCCAAATGACTTCCATGCCAACGCATTTGCCTGTGCATACAGCTGCTCCTAGAGAGGAGAAGGTGTTTAGGGGACAGTTTGGTACAACACAGCCTGCTCTCACAGCACTCGCCTGCCGACACCAGTGGCACCATCAGGTAAAATGTTCCTTAATCCCTGTTGTCCTTAGGATCAGGTCTCTATTCTGTACAGTGCCAGACAGCAGCCATGCCACAGATTACGATCCAGAGGCTAACTTTGTATTAGGAGCACTAATTTCCACAGCATTAGCAAGCACCACTGGTAGAATATGAGGGTGACGTGGGAATTTTGGCGAGAGCTCTGCAGTGCTCTGAAATCCTAGCAGTATTCAAATTGCTCAGCAGAGTGCAGCATCACTCAAAAGAAATGTATGAATACGTAAGAAACTGTTAGACCAAAACCACCATGGGATTTTGCCTCTCCAGACCTGAGCCTGTCATGCAAGTCCATATATGCACTCCCAATACACTGAAACAAACTAGTTGCATTACCAGTGTTAAAAGGCTCAGAGGTCATTGCAACTAGATCCATTCCGATCTCTAGTCAACGCCCAGCACAGGCTTACTCTTCTTCAAAGACACCTACTACGCTACGCAAATGTGAGGTCTGTACGTGCAAAGATGAAGCCTCTTCGCATTGAGGAGATGATGAAGGTCCCTATGGGTAAAGCACATTACTCAGAACCCAGACTGTAGGTAAAGTGGCATGGAAAAAGTTAGTGTGGAGGACAAAGGGATGAATTGTCCAAGGCTGATGCTCCCTCTAGGGGAAGGGAAGACCTTGACATCTAAAAAGCAAGAATTTCCCTGCAGCTGTTCTCATTTGAGGACCCTCCTCTTTCCAACAGAGCTGCAGGCTCTGGCATAAGACATTCAGGACTATAGATATTGTGCTCTCCTTCACCATCCTCTGCAGACTCTCAAACCAGCCTGTGGGCCCAACGCTGAAAAACTTACTATAAGCAACTTATTCCTGTTGTATATCGACCACAGGGAGTCACACATACAAGCGTGAGGCTTGTGAAGACTGTAAACTTTGGGCTGTTTGTTTCCAGATGTGGCTTGTGCCTTTAGCTTTTCTCCCATAAAAGCAGGAGGAAGGGCTTTGAACGTACTTATGTCCTTGCAGCTCGATGGCTGTTCCTTTTCTTCCTCCAATATCCCACATTATAATGGAATGATCAGAACTGCCCGAGAATAAAACTCGCTGTATTGGGTCCCAACACAGAGCAGTGACACCACCTGAAATAGCAGAAGCACACAACAGTCAATTCATTACAGAAAGCCAAAGACAGAAATGTAGCTAAATATATATATATAAAGATACAACAAAAAATATGGAGAGTGATTAAAATGCAGGTCTCTTTAGCAAAGGCCATGCGGTCACTGTGCTTGCCAGTTGAAAACTAACAGCCTAGAAAACCTTCTGAAGCCCCATCCTGCTCTTCTGTGGGCTCCGCTGCCACTCGCATGGATGAATCCACTGAGCAGCAAAGCGTGGCAGAAGGATGGTCACGGTGTGACTACGCAGCTTTTCATCTCCATCGCTCCCGGGAGATTACAAAAGAGAAGCAAGTGTGGAATATTACGGGCATCTTCACAGTATACTAGCATGAGGATTGAACTAGCTTGTGCTACCTCGTGCTTGAGCTATTAGCGTTTGGAGAGGAGGGATATGGAGAGAAAATGCTGAGGAATGACCACCATTTCTTCTGTTAGATGGGAGGATCACATCCCAGGGTTGCTGTTTTTGAAGTCCGATGGGGCACAAGTCCCAGCAGTGACACAAGCAGTTACTGCCTCCAAGATGTCCCTATTCCACTTGTGCAAAAGTGTCTACCAATATGGGTCTTTCCTTGAGGAGCATCCTTTCCCCCCCAGAATTACCACAACTCATTCCAGTCTCACTCTGCTTTGATTAGCAGCTACTGATTGTGGTGTTTTCTGCCACAGAAGTTTTCTGAGGAGAAGTCTGATGTCTCTCATTTTTACCAATAAAGAATAAACTTCCCTGAGCTGTAGTGACAGTTTAAGGTCTATCTCCCTTCCATGCTATGCGCTGACACAAGCCATTCTAGTGTTTCACAGGAGAGTCAAACCACCGTGACGCTGAGTACAGATGAAGAACCAAATTGGGTCTCCTCCTGAGGCCTTACCTGTGTGTCCCTTAAATGTTGTAACAAGGCTGCAGGACTCTTGCTCTAGTTTGAGTATGGTCACTTGTCCAGAATGATCACCAACGAACACGTGCCGGGTTTCCACATCAAATCTGACAGACAAATGCTGAGGAAAATACACTGCTTATACAAAAGCTTTGCATACCTTTCATGACTTGTTAATTCTTTCAACATGAGTATACTGCAACCTCATGAATAGTGCTCGTCTCAAGGAGGTATTCAGAGTGTACTTTTAGGCATCAAGTTCTTACCTGTTCATATTAATAGTGCAGTCTCCCTGAGTAAACTGAAGAGTGAGAAAAAATGGGACTATTCCAGAGGACACAATTTGTGGTTTTGTTATGAAACACGTTTGAAGTAGCCCTTGGTCATGAACAGAGGAGTCATCTCCCCAGGCTCTCTAACTTCAGTGCTAGAGTTGGATGGTGTCCACTCTCTCTTTC